GTTAAAATATGATGTGCTACAACGTATTGGCTGTGTCTAAACTGACTAGATGTGAGCAGTTTTGTATATGAAGAAATAAAAGTGTATCCCACTCTCTGAAATCCCTCAGTCATGTCCTTAATAATTTCTTACCTCCAGTAATGCATGTCTAGGAAAACTGTAAGTGATGAATATTCCGTTTTCTTAATTCATTTACTGGTAAGTAAATTACACCCCTACTTTGCACTTAATGTCTTGGAAATACTGGTGCTCTCTCACTAGACAGTATTCAACTTGACCTTTAACAAGGAAATGCAAGTCCCGTGAGATCAACAGCTTCCTTTGATTTCTGACATAGGAATTCACCATCTAAATTCCTTAAACATGACATGCAAACTAACAACTCTTTGAGTTGAAGGAAAAGGGCCACTGCAGAGATAAAGAATTGGTGAGCAAAACTTTAATTGCTAATTTTCACGTTCCACCAACTTTACTTCTATTAGGCTATCTCTTACTCTGTTGTTTTCTACCAGTGGGGACAGACTTGCAGAGCGAGACAATGTACTGAAAGAAGAGAGACAAGTGAGATTTGGGCTTACGTTGGCCCCTGTGCCATGATTGTGAAAGGATGGATGCTCCCTTCCTCTTTGGATGAGAGATGGATGGCAACTGCTCTTCTAAGGTCCGAGGAATTTGTGACTTTTGAGCTGAGGTTTGTCTTCTACTGTCATGTCCTTGTCCTTCTGCAGGACAAGCGCATAGCAGTTCTGCTGATAATGTAAGTTCCCAAGACTGCAGAGGAATCGCCCACCACCTGGTTATTGGAAGCAATATGTCAAACTTTTACAAGTACCTGTGTGTAAAGCTTTGCAGTCCTGACTTCAGAGCCAGCTGGTCAGCAGCTGGCTGTCTAGGCTGGCCCAGCAGCATGGTATAGGTAGAAATGGGTCTTTATGAGTTTACTGAGTCTCCCCTCCCCTCTCTGACTCCCTCCAAAAGATTATGGCTATAAAGAAAGTCAATTGGACAGGAAATTGAAGTAAAGGATTTTGTAACCCTTCATGCGTCTTATGATCAATCCATTTGCCCCCAAGGTAACAAAATGCCTCACTGATTTTAAGACTGTTTGCCTATTTTTTTTTTCCGGGCAAAGACAACAAATTTAACGGGATTATGTCCTGAAAACAGTTTTCAAACCTAATGCAGGCAGCATATGTGATTTCAACTGAATTTGATTTTAGTGTAGCAGTTTCCTTCCCAAAAGATATATCTATTTCTTTTTATTTTCCTGTTTAAGCATGTAGCAGGATGAGGCTTAGCAGACTGGAGATTCTGTCTATCTTTTAAGACCTTACTACTGTTAAAATCTCAAGCCATCTGCTGAATTTCTGAAGGATCATGGTGATTGCATAGTGTGGCATGGTGGGTTTCCCATGTTCGCATGTCACTGCAGTCTCCATGATAATCATGGTATCACCTGAAACTGGAACCTTGTGATGAGCAACGTATTCACGGGATTTCATCTAAATCTGTTTGCCTAACACTTATGATCAGCGTCTCTTTTTCTCATGTTTTTGCTCATTCTAATTCAAGAGCTTTCATGGTGCTGTGAGTCTGCAAGGCGCTTGCCTGAACAGTCACGTAAGTGCAAATGCACAAAGCTACAGACAAGAGAGGGTGTTTCTTGCAAATGCAAAAGCTTAAGAAAAATTCATGATCCTGGTTTTTCTAAAACCATTTCAACAAATGCGGATGTAAATTAATGTAAACCTGCCTAATATTTATAAATGATTGGCAGACGTATTACCATAAGCAGTAAAAGCTATGTTGATGTTCTTACCTCAATGAAAAATTTCAAAACTACTTTTTTTCCATTGAAACTGTCATGGATACTCGCAACAAGGTCCTGTGAGAGGTGGTACCCAGTAAGATTTTTGGGTGCTCTCGGGAAAAGAACTGGGGCTGGTGCTTCTGCATCTGACAAGAGAAAGCAGAGGAAGGCTTGAGGGAGCATGAGTGGCCAGTGCTGTAAAAGCAAGTTTTGGGGAGGCGCCGGGGGAAGGAGCTTTGTGCTTGCCTTCATTGCTTATTGCTGAACTTCTGCTGGTGGGATGTGGAAAAGGGAAAAGAGTATTAAAGCTCTTTTTTGCCAGTGTCCTAAATCTTAAGTCTCTTTTTGAATCACTAACAAACAAACAGAAAATATCCAACAGCCACAAAGTAGTCTGTGAGGAAATTCCTTCTGTATGTATCCTCTTTTAATGTGCTGGTAATTATTAGTCTCAGTGATAGGGATGTGAATGTTCAGCAGATAACTACACAGAATTGGCAGGTCAGAAGATGGTTGATTGCAAGCATTTGGAAAAATATAAAGCATAGACAGTCTTTGGTCTAATTCTGTTCTTTCCGAAGTCAGTGAAGAGTCTTCTCTATGCAATTACAGCAATAGCAGTATTTTTGAAAATTCTGCTGCTACTGTTTAAATGGCCAAAGGATCAAAATGCTGGAGCAGAGATGTATTTAGGAGAAAAATGCTGAGATCCAGATCAAGAAGAATGGATAATTTATTGTATGCCCTTAATCAGTTTGGCTTAAACTTTTGTAATAACAGAAGAAACACTATGAAAACCAAATACAACATCAGTGCTGACCTCTCTCCCGTGAGTCAGCTATCTCAGATTCTAAGTATATGGAAGTCTTTCAGCTCATGCAATGCTCATTTTTATTAGCCTAGACCATGACCGATATATTGTGTATTCTCTCTTCCACCTCATTCAGGAAGTAATATTCTATTCATGATCACTCTGAGTTCTGTAGTAAAACAAATAAAAACCAGGCATGTACGAACAGATATGAAGGTGAGTAAGAATGCATTTGAAGTATACAGATTTAGCCTTCTTTTATTGCCTGGCAAAAGTATGTATGTGATCAGGATACAATTAATTTGAGCTACTGGTGGATCATCTGTAGGAACAAAGTGCTGACAAGGAGCATGGTGGGAGCTCTGATCGTCTGCTCCAGATTTCTAGATGCCAGATGCAGTGAGGTCAGCCTGAATGGCAACCTGCTGTCTGGTGCACACGATCACAGAGCATGATCATGAAAGAATTCAGTTATTAATTGTAAAACAGCAAAAACCTAACCAAACAAAAAAACTCCACTAGATTTATCAACACTTGTACATTTATTGTGATGTTAAATCCTTATCCATGGCTCATGAGGCTATTAAATAAGTAATAGTAAATTTGATGTCCAATTTACATATGCTGAGTATATATTAAAAAAAAAGTATGAAAAGTATGAAACAGTATTGAGAAAAGACATTAGGACTCTTATTTGATGTGTGACCTGGCAAATGCATACTGAGTTGTGTTTTTCCCATACTGTATAGCCCGGTGCGCATTACTGTCTGAAATACCTGCCTTTTTCTTTTTGCCTTTTATACAAGCGTTAATGGCAGAAAAGCAAGCAGTCTTGTGTTTGCTAAAATACTTTCTCCTCTGCTATGCCCACAAAATCCTACATTGACATCTGTGCATAGTCATTTGGGTCCAAAGTTGTGTCATTACTCTAGTTATAAATGTTGCCGATTCGCATGTTTGTATAGAAAGGATTTGACATGATTATTTTGCTTTATTTTGAAATGATCTTTCATTATTTAAAAAAAAAAATGTTCAAAACTATTTGTATCCTAATCCATACAGTGCATGAACAGCACTTCCTAATGGAGTAATGTGTAAAATTGTGAAGATTCTGCAGACAAACCCAAGCACCATCAGTGCTAGGAAGGCAGAGAGCAAAGCAAAGGCAACATGGGATTCTCTCACTGCC